TTGTCACGCTGAAGTAGGCCTATATGAAATCTGTCATCTTTTCTTATCACTATTTGGAAAGTGTCGATAATGCAGTTGATTTGATCTTTGTATTTCATTCTTTACTGCGATTCACAAAAATAGCTCGATAAAACTAATATCCTGTTTATATGTACCGCTTGCAGTTGTGGGCTTATAGGATATTTCAAAACATTGACTTCCGTGGATTAATATAGCAGCGAAATCATTTAATGTTGTTAATTTCCACCGGTTTGGCATTACTTTCGATTACAAATTCAGAATTTGTCAAGTACCAGAATTGAAAACTAAAGAGGGCGCTGTCATACAAACGATATTAGGAACCCTAATGAAGATACAGGTAAATGGTTTTAATAGTAACAAGATAATCTAACAAAAGTCAACCGGGAAATCAACACTTCACTTCACAGACTATTTCATTTTGAATATTATTGGCTGTAGTAAAACGTGGGAAACCTTTCAGAAAACTTTGATCATTTTCAAAATCAGCATATTTAGTTATCAACATCGAATTTTGTTTCGCTGATTTACTCTATTACGTTTTTGCAACATGAATTCTTAAATTCACTACCGCACAAATATAAAGGTCTAGGCAAATATTATTTAATAATACAGTATTACAAGTTTACATAATTAACTCTTTTCAACCATAACTCAGTTCGTAGTTGCCTGTGTGTACACGCGCCTCCTACACTAACAATGTCTGTGGGAATTTGGGAATTTGAATTCTATTGGTTGATCATTTCACAATTTTTTTTTTCGGGATTGAATCGGTCATTTGGTGAATTTTCAACTGATTTTTTACAACAAAATCCCTAAACAAATTACGAGCAAACTTAAATGTCAATAAAATCGAAATTATCTATTGTGCCCATTATTTTTAAAACTTGTTTTCTCTTATTCTACTTTTTATTTGAAGGCTAGTACTGTATATTGTATATCAACGTAAGCACTTTATTTCTAGTGTTTTAGTTAAAAATAGACTAAATATATAATTGCTCAACACAGGTATTTCCATATACCTTAGATTCACGAGCTTTACAGTTCCAAAGCTTTGTTCAGAGACTTTCAAAATGTATTCACAAAAAAAAGTGAAAGTGATTGTGCCTAAATATGGCACTGATGACCATATATAGGCACGTCATCACTATATTTAATGGTATACAACAGTTTTTGTCAATGTAATAGAGTACTAATCTACGTGTTGTGAAATAGTGACCGGAAAGAACATTTCTGACCTTTGACCTTACGTCTTTGCAGATTTTTTTTTTACCTTTGACCTCATGTACCTTGATATACCCACTTGATTATGAAAATGCTAGAATATGCATCTATTTACCTTAACTGAAAATTTTGTATATAAAATACTGAAAATGATTGTTTTGATCTCTGACACTTGCAATCTGGCCATAGGTATCTTTATTTGTTTTGTTTTAATAACAGAAGAAAAAAGAGTTTCTTCTACCTAGGATACTCCTTCGGCTCTAACAATAATAATATTAAGTGATGGAGACTCATGACCATTGCGCATCATATAAGCAGGCCCTGTGCGCGTAGGTCAGTGCATTTTTAGTTCATCGAGGAGATTTCTAATGCATATCAAGGTAATTTTGCACGCTTTTAGAAAAAAATACCTTGCGTTTATATAGTTTAATCACCCGTCCATATATATTTTTAAATTATCCTTACACAACTTAATCCGGATCGTCACCAAAATTTAATAATTCTTTCGTTGGACCATGACAAATTATTCTGAAACGTTTCATTTATGTCCATTGATAGAATTGATAGAATATCTGTAGAGATATTGAGGTCTAGGAAGTTAGCATTTTAAATGAACCTCAAATTCACACCCAAATCTGGATAATCACCAAAGTAATTAATTTCTTCCTTATAACTTGGTTATAACTTTCAGAAAGCTTCTTTAAGAGCAGTTTATCAGTTTTTGGGATATTTGTATGGGACTTTCCCCCTTTGAAAGGTCCTCCAGTCCACATTCTACTCCAGATTATCACAAAAATGTACTCATTTCTTTGTTGAACCATGAAAAACTATTTTGAAAGTTTCATTTCGATCCACCTGGTGAGTTTTAGAAATATTTAAGTATGGGACGTTAAAAACTTAAATGACCCTCAAATTCACACCCAAATCTGGATCGTTACCAAATTTATTAATTTCTTCCTTAAAACTTGGTTATTAAACTTTTCAAAAAGTTTTTTTTAACATCAGTTTATCATTTTTTGGGATATCTGGTCTGGGACTTTTCCCTTTGAATGATCCCTACTCGGGATCTTCACTAAAATGTAATCATGTCATCATTGTTCCATGACAATCTATTCTGCAAAGATTCATTTAGATCTACTGATAGGTTTTTGAAATATTTAGGTATGAAAAAGTTCTTAGCATGGAAAGTGACCAAAGTGCCTAGTGGGAAAACCCAGTGCAAAATAGTAGGACATACGAAGGAAAAATCAGAACAAAAGCAATGGATTTTCTGCTACAAAAAACATCATAAACTAAATTGAAATAAAATACTTACACAAAACAAATACACAAATAAACAAAACAAAAATAAAAAAATAGGAAATAATGAAAACAAAATGAACATGTAGAAAGGGTCACCGTCACCATCCTAGCCCCATCCCGGACGCCTACATAGGTGGCTCGAGCAAAGGAACGGGATACACAAAGTGGGTCGGGTAATGTTGCTGAAAGCATGATATATTCGACAAGACTGTTCCAAAATTGAGATAATACAAAGGTGAAGGGACCGATCACCATCAAAAGTTGTGTTGGTCTTAGGCACAACGATCACTGACTCTGAGGATGATCTTAATCCTATGTGCACATCGCTTGGTCTCCAGTTGAATTGTCATCGCTGTTCTCCTTGTGTTTCAGCTGGAGGGCTGAAATGCAATTTTCAAAAGCACCGTCTTTCGGATTAGACGTTTACGCCGTTGGCCCCATGTGCAAAATGGCCCATTTGCACGTTAAAGAAGCACAGTACACAATTTGGAAAAGAATAGATGATTGTCTTCCGGTGTACTGCCCAATTTACTACCAGGACACCACTGGAAATATAAGTCTCATGACTTTCCTAGGTTAACCTTGGTGTGCATCACACCAAATAAGAAACCCAATCTCAATAGGTGTAGAACTTTGGATTGTAAATTGTCTGATATAACTTGAAAAATCAGTTTGAATGCTTTCCATTAAACTATTGATGTCACTGCTTTTGCAATTAAAACGTTAATTATGCAGATATTATGCATAATTGTATTTGATTAGTGTGCACAGGCCCCGTTACTCGTTTGCTATAAGCATATTATTTGATTAAATCAGGTTTTATTGGAGAATCCTCTCATCGAGTCCAGGTACGACTACACTTTGTCCAGCCACTGATGGACACACCTTGTGTGTCCATCAGTGGCTAAATAGCAAAAGATGTTGCATGGTCTGTTGCAAGAGGTGTTTCCAGTCACAGATGATTGGGTTGGGAATATGGTGCTTGCTTGAAAATTCTAAGCCCAAAATCTTTCACAATCTTTTGCTCTGAGATGTGATCTGATAGGTAGTAAACTATGGAAACCGACAGCGTTGCCTCTTGAAGACAGTCCCGAGCCCGAATCTTCTTACCAAAAAAAAAAAAAAAAAAAAAAAAAAAAAACACACACAAAGGTTTATAATATTCTAATCTACAAAGCCAAGCCGTTTTCACAAAAATTAACTATCTTAAACAGTGACTGACAAATGAATGCGTCCGCGACTGTAACACATAATATAGGTATTTATGCAATGAGCTACAGATATTGAATCGTGATGTTTAAGTTTCGTATATCAACACAGACAGTATTCACTATTATTTCCAAGACCTTATGTTTACCTCCATTCTGTACCCAAAAAAGGTAACATAACTCGTTGAAAATAACATTGTATGAACGCAGGCAAAAACGCATGCATAATGATTTTTTCTTTAATATTTTGATTCCTAGGTTGCTTATTATAGATTATAAATTTTTCTTCTAATAACAGTCACGAGAACAATACGTTTACAGTTAAGTTCCTTCACCCCATTATTCTACTGTCATCATATTCATATATGTAGGACTGGTGACTGTCCTTGTAAAATGCAATATGCGAGGGTTATATAATCCTAATCTGGCTTATGCCGTCCTGTATATTGTATATACAACCAG